GGAGTAAGAAATGTGAACGATTTGTGTAGCAGAGAATCTATAGAAAAAAGTTTATTTTGCATATAAATGCATATTTTAAGGTTGAGAGCATATTTGAAGAATTCGGCATAATAAAGCATATTTTGGTACATAATAGTTATTTTATTTATATTTCACTATAGAAACTAGATTTATGAGTTTATGAAGTATTGTGGGGAAATATTTAATTTGTATTAAAACCATATCTTGCTTATCGAAACACATCGATCGACAACAATGAAGACCAGTTATATATAAATTTCCTTCATACAATTATATTTTTAGCATGATTATTATTATTATTATCGTGATTTTAAGTCTTATATTGGATAAACACGCTGCATCGTGGCTCTTGTTGTTTTACATTTAGTTGGTATTTAATCGTCACGCGTCGTGCTGTAGTCGCCAGTCGGTAATCGCCTATAAATATAATTTCGTAATCCGCATTCCGTATATAAACAAATTTCTTTAATAATTTTTTTTACACTCGTAAATTTTAAAATGCCGAAAAGTCGTAGTAATATTCAAATTTTAATAAAACATTGGATTGCATTGTATAATAAAACAGACCACACAATTTTTACTACGGACGGTTCTGTAGTGTTTTGTCAATTGTGTGACAAAAAAATCGTTTGCACCAAAAAATTTCAAATACAACAACACGTTGATACTGCTTTGCATAAAAGTGCTTTAAATCGTAAAGCAAATGATAACAAAAAACAATTATTTGTATTGGACGCAAAACCTAAATCTGGTAACATTTTTAACGAGGATCTTTGTTCAGCTTTGATAGTCGCTAATATACCATGGAATAAACTTCAAATTCCCGAATTCAAGAATTTTTTGGAAAAGTACACAGGTAAGCATATTCCCGATGAAAGTACACTTAGAAAAAATTATCTTGGTCCATGTTACAATAATGTTATAAATGCAATCCGAGAAATTATTGGAAATTCAGATATTTGGATTGCTGTTGACGAAACAACTGATACAAACGGCTGTTATATAGCAAATTAATTAGTTGGCGTTTTAGAATGTGATACACCAAGTCAATCGTATCTATTAGCATGTAAAGAACTGCCAAAAACAAATCACTCTACCGTATCTCGTTTTATTAACGATAGTTTAAAAATATTATGGCCCGCTGGGGGAAATGACGAAAACCTAAGATTGTTTTTATCAGATGCAGCGCCATATATGGTTAAAACTGGAAATGCATTAAAAGTGTTTTACCCAAATATCATCCATGTAACATGCGTAGCACATATATTAAACTGAGTAGCAGAAAAGGTAAGAGAGTTATTCCTCGATGTAAATAAATTAATTAACAATGTAAAAAAATCTTTTTTAAAGTCACCTTCTCGTATTCAACTATATAAAGAAATGCTACCTGGTTTACCATTGCCCCCGGAACCAGTTATTACAAGATGGGGGACATGGATAGAGGCAGTTATATTTAATGCAAATAACTATGAAGGTATTAAAAGTGTAATAGAAAAACTAGATAATGATTCTTCAGCAAGTGTAGATAATTGTAAAAAAATGTTCAATTTGACTACAGTGAAAAATGATTTCACATTTATATAAATTAACTTTTCTGGACTTATTCGGGCAATCACAAACTTAGAAGATACTAAATTGACATTACTACAATCTATAGAGATTACGAAAAATATAATTTCCGAACTATCAAATATACAAGGTGACAAAGGTTCTATCATAAAAAATAAAATATCTCAGTTATATCAAAAAAAATAAAGGATTTCAAGTACTAGAACAAATCGGACTAGTTATATCAGGTAACAATGAAATACAGATTCCAGAAAATTTCAATCCTTGCTCTGTGGCAAATATGAAATATGCACCGTTGACGTCAGTAGATGTGGAAAGATCCTTCAGTCTATATATAAACATATATTAAGTGATAGAAGAATAAATATGACACCTGAACATATGGAAGAGTATATTATTGTTAACTCTTTTTATAAAAAGTAAATATCGATTTATATTTATTAGGTAATTAAAATGTTTTTATTTGTTTAAATTGTTTTTTTTATATATATAAATTGTCTTCATTGGTATAAAAGAATTAAATACATTTTTTTTATTATTATTTTTAACTAAAGTGCACTTTATTAATTTAATGTAATTTTTAAACATTTTTTGTCTTTAATTAATGTTGTAAGTTGATGTCGCAGTGCCGGTAATAAAAAAATTAAGTTTGTTTGATTATGTTGTATTAATTATTATTTAATAATATATAAAGAAAAAATTAAAAAAAAAATTATAATGCATATATTTTGGGTAAGAGCATATTTTTCATATTTTTTAAAAAAAATAAGAGCATATTTAGTGCATATTTAAAGGTTTTTTGATGCATAAATGCATACTATTTTAAGGTTTTTAAGTGCATACAAATCCGGACCCTAGTAATGACTATTTGTCATCAAAGCTGAATGATATATATATTTAATATATTTAAAATTATTTTTTTTAACTATTCATAATACCTTCTATTTTCATGAAATGAAACAATTACAATTTAAACAAGAATAAATAAATAATTTCATATTATTTTTAATAAATCTCTAATAATTAGAATTAAACAAAATTAACCGATTCTAGAATCCTTATTCTTTTAAAAAATCGAAACCGAAACCCTTAAAAAAATTAATTAAACAACCAAAACCAAAACTGGAACCGAAAAAACCCATAGGTTCCAGTCCTTGATTATAAGTAAAAAAAAAAACAAACAAAAAAGGTACTTATAGATTTGTAGATCATCCCTGGGAAGGAAAGTTCAATAAGGATTATTAACAAATAAGACTACAAACACTTATGTAATTAATGAAGATCTTCTTTTCACAATTTTTAGGTTACTGAAATTCTGAAACTAAAACAAACACTTAATATTTTTGAAAAAAAAAACAAAAATATATTTTTTACACATATAATATGAAAAGTACATATTTTAATTAATAATAAAAAAAAAATGTACACAAAATTATAAACAAAAAATATTCATTGTATAAAACAAATACACAAGTAAAAATACATGTAGTAACAAACAACTGTATAAATTGGACACTTAAAAAAAATTTAATAATATTATCACTAATTTTGTTTTTCTTTAGACAATATCAATAATGAGTAGGATATCATGAACACATGTGACATTATTAATTATCCAACAATTGGTATTCAAATGATGTTGGAAACATTGAAGTTTAAAGATTAAATTATACTAATAAGAATCACATAGATGAATGTAAAATAAAAATAGGAGAACAATTTAGAATGTTTTTATAATATTAATCACCATACGTGTTTTCAGTGTTTTACATACTGAATTAATAGGAATTCTACAAAATCACATGTTTTAAATAGAGTAAGTAATTTTCTAATACTGTGTAAAAATCAACAAGACTAAGCTAAAACGTCTAATTTTAAACAATAACTGTGGATTCATTACTTAAAATATATTATGTATTTTTGTTTCTTTTACTAGCCGATAAGGAAAAAAAGTGTTCATTATATTTTTGAATGGTCAAAACTAAACAGATTTCCAATCTTGCAAGTACTTAGTAGTATTGAATGCATTTTAAAACTTGGGAAACTGTCAAGTTTCAAGCATACCAACTATACTTATTATACATTTAAAAAATAATAGCTATAAGAATTATTGTAGAACTTGCATTTTCAGTATAATTTCAATAAGTATAAATAAATCGATAAAAATATTATTGTCATTAAAAAAATGATTAGAAACAACAAATGTTGTACAAATTAAAATACAACTGACATCATTTAGTTAAATTAATAATATATAGGCAATTATTTTAATATAAAAATCTGATAAAGAATACAAGAATACCAATAAAGATGGTTTTTTTAATCATTTATATACATTAAAAACTGATTGTTTGAACTGTATAGGGCCAAGTAAATATTCTGTACAGGTTTATTATGATAAATGAGTATTTGATTTCTGCTGTAAATTTAATTAGTTAGTTGATCAAATTTTGGCTTAGTCAAGTAAAACATTCATCTCAAATAATTTGTATGAATTCTAAATATATTTACAAGGTATGATTAATTCACATTAAAAGAACCTGAATTACCTACCTATATTTGTACATTTATGTTACTTAATAATTTTACTATTTTATTTTTTGTATGTAGTGTTATATTATAATTAGTGGAAGTAAAAGTAGCTGTTACAGAGATATCCTATACTATATTTTTGGAATTTAAGGAGATTGGTATTCAAAGTGTTATTGGTTTGTAACAAATCAGTTTAAGATAATACATTCTGAAGTATCAAATTTTCATATTATCTTTGGCAATTTGTAATATAATAGTCACACTTTAATTTGAAGTTTAACGTGATATACAGTATATTATTAAATTAAACATTTTCTACATTTCTCATAATACACAACTCAATTAATAAAGTAATGAACATTGTACTATATATAAATTAACGCTTATAAATTATGAATGATAACTAATAAAAACTACAGTTTTATCAATTGATCATTTACACTGCTATTTTATATTTATGAAATTGTACTGGAAAGACAAGTTTTTAAAAATAAATTACATATTCTTGCTCTATTAAGTATACTATAACTTTAATATTGACTAATACACTGTTTTAATACTAAGAAATAATACTGATCAAAGGATTAAAAATAAATTTATTGCTTGGGGTCCCCAGCTTGTTATCACACAATTCAATTAACTGTACAACTATTTAATAATAAAAACTCTATAGGTACTGTATATAAATAACTACAGTTAAAGTACAATTTAATTAGTAAATGCAGTTGATATTCAATTTCTTAATGTTAATATTTTCAACCGTGTGCTCAACACAACTAATAAAAATTTGCTGAATCATAATAATATTAAAGCATTAATATGTAAAAAAAAAAAACTGATAAAATTAAAATACAAAATTGAAAATATTTCATATAATTAAAAATAATTCAGTCAAAAATAAAGTTATTGAACTCTCTATTATACTACTCGAATATTAATAAATAATTATGGCATTTAGAGACTCGAAATAAAGTTGAATTTATGAGTAATATTCTAAACAAAATTCAAAAAATTCAAGTTTAATTGTGATCAATAAAAATTTGTATTAAGCTCTGAATTTGATTTGAGTGTAATTTTCAAAACCACCATTAGTTTATACAGTGTTCCTAAAATGGTCGATAAAATTAGTATAAGTCTACTCTCTGGAGTGGCCAAATGAAAAAAGTTTTGATTTTTTTTTCTATCTTCAAAATCTTGGTTTTATCTAATTATATTTCGAACATTATTTTGAATGAAAATATGAATACTTGTAAGATATTTCTTACAAATTTTGCATATGAATAGATATGTAACATAAATTTTGGGCTCATCACCATTTTTTCACGTGAGAAATTTGCAAGAAATATCTTACAAGTATTCATTTAGCCACTCCAGAGGGTACAATTATACTAATTTCCTCAACTATTTTAAGAACACATTGTATATTAAAAATTCAATAGAAAAATGATTTTTTAGAAAAAGCACAATCAGTCTTTAAATAAGAAAATGTAGCTCAAAATTATCATGAACTTTAGAAAAATAAGTAAAAAAAAAAACCTTTTCTAGTGGAATTATAATTGATATCAAAATAAAAATTGAGATCATATTGTTAATAGATCTAAATTTACATTAATAAAATGGATCAGTCTAAAAAGACATTTAATAATTTAGAATGAGATGGTTAAATAAACCAGTTGATTAGTCATGGTAAGTTATTCAAATGTACAACATATTAAAATAGTTATTTAAAATCAAACAAAATCATGGACGGACTGGTAAAGATGGCACTCACTAGATTACTATTAAACAAATGATGAAAATCCAGGAAGTGGAGCTCTTGATCGCGCCATATTATTCATTATAATTTGACCACCATTAAGGCTCATTACTGCACTACCTTCAGGTTCTGAATCTGTATAACTAGAATAGTTCCTAACAGGTTTTTGTCGTTTCCACGATTGCCTTAAAGAATCATTGACATTGGCATAATGATTAACAAATGAATGTGGATCTGACCGCACGCTTTCATTTTCACTTTCTGATCCCTGAAAAAAAAAAATGGGAAACACAATTAGTTTTACTTTTTCATACTTTTAATACAAATTTAACATTATACTTGAGAGTCTGTAGAACTGATTTCAGAAGGTTTTTCAGTAACTGAACTATCATCTGGATTTTCGTCATAACCTTTAACACTATCATCATCACTGTGGTATGGAACACTAGCTGGAGATGGCCTTGGAGGAGATTTTCCAAGTGTTCCTATCTGAGGCTTGCGTCTGTGCAATGAATGGTGTAAAGTATTATGAATAGACATTCGTCCCAGTGAATTGTTGTTGGACATTCTCGTTCTATGAAGTTCCATAGCTAGTTGTTGTCGATCATCTATGTCCATAACCATGGATTCTTCTAATGTTTTTTGTGCTTCTTCTATAAAAAAAAATAAAATTTAGTAAAAATCCAAGAAATTGACAAAAAAATAAACTTTCAATTATAATCAACTTACGTTTATACTTATAACTTTTGCTTTTTACACATAAAATAGCTATAACCATAATAAGTACAACTAATGATGCAGCAGCTAATGCTACCATGAACCATGTCTGTCTATAGAATGGTTTCATTTGCAAATAACCATATTCTAAGTACAATTTTGATGGTGTTAAAACCTGAAGTATATAATTAGTATTTGTTTTAAATAAATATTATTTAATAAATAGTACTCATGGTATATATACATACCACATCATCTGAATAGGCTGGATAACTAATACCAAATTCGTTATACGCTACGATCCTAAATAAATATGAAGTAGATGGTAGTAAACTCTGATAAGATACTGCATACTCATCTAACTGTCCACTGTTGCTCTTGGTAACAGTTGTCCAACGTGTATCATCTGTAAATCGCACATAATAATAAATAAACAAAAATATAGCTTATAAAAATATAACATGTTAGCATGGTGCATAAAACATACGTGACATACAAATATTTTTATCCACTAAAATATGTATTTATAATTAATGCAATATATTAAGATCATGTTAAAAATATAAGCATTTATAATACAATAAGTGTTGACGAGCAATTATTATTATACTCTATTATAATAATATGTTTTATTTATTAATATTATTATTGTTAACAAAGCATTTAAAAATGTTTTAACTTGTAAATATTTGTGTACATCTGTTTTTTAGTTCAAATAAGTGGATTAACTTAGTTTACAACATCAAACATTTTTTATCTGTATCTAGGTTTTTTGAACTGTATAAATTCTAAACTAAATTATTTAAATTAAATGTATCATTAAAAATAAAATTAATGTGATTTTAATAAACATATTGATTTATACAAAATGCAATTTTAATGTTATATCACTAATAACCTAAAATAAATAATACTGTTCTAAAAAATTACCAAACATAAAAAAGAGGATGCTCCATACTCAAATATTTTTAGCCTGGCTTAAGTTGAATTAAAAAAATAAATGTAAATGTTTTGAATATGAAAATTATGTCCTAAATTTGAATGTTTTTTTCAATATTATAAAGCAAAACAGTAAATAACCAAATTAATTAAAATAAACATATGCATATTAATGTATAATACCCTTTTAATAGTATAATACCTGAGAAATGTATTTAATTTCAAAGATCTAAAAATAAATTTAAGAAATACATTTCTCATGTTTAAATTCTTTCCCAAATCAAACACAACAGCAAGACAAAACAGTAACATACATTTCAAAAAAATATAAATAAACTTACAATGTTCCCAGTCTTGAATGGCTGGATAGTAAATAAAATATAAAAAAAAGTCAATATAACCTTACTGAAGATTTTTTTTTTTATCAAATAGTTCAATAAAGATCAGTAACATTTTAAGTTCTTACCTTTACGTCTGCTTTGAATATAGTAACCAAGAATTGGCCCTTTTCCAGATGGACTATTTTTCCACTTCAGTGCAACGCTAGAAACAGTTTTTACTAAGGATAAGTCAAATGGACTTTTTGGGGATCCAACTTGTGGACCAGTGGTCACATTTCCTTTTATAGAAACTCCAAAATCAATTGTTTGAGCTCTGACTGAAAATGTATATGTTACTTCTTCTTCAAGCGGTTGAACAAGAAGCCAAGTTTGATTCACTCTTTGTTTCACTTGTTTACTAAAACCTATGTTAATTATACATTAATGAACATACTACACAGTACCTATACATTTTTAAAAAAACAAAATATAATACTTACGTTCATTTTGTTCAGCAGTTTCATACGTAATGATATAACCAAGAAGTAAGCCATTTTTTCTTTTAGGAGGTTTCCATGAAACTTTAAGACTGTTCATTGTGATTTCAGAAAAAGTAAGATCAGTTGGAGGACCAGGAACTCCCTAAAAAATAAAAAGAGTATTAGCAAAGACATGAAGTTTGATTATTATTTAGAATTATACCTGATGGGTTCTAACAATAACAGGAGCAGATCTAGGTCCATCCCCAGCTGGATTAAAAGCTAGTATTTGGATTTTATATTCTGTGTATTTGTCTAAAAACACCAAACTATGACCAATATAAGCAGCTGGAACAACTTCAGTTTCTTCCTCAACACGATGTTCATTTGGCGAATCAGTAACAATATAAAATATCTATAAAATAAAAATAAATGGTCAAAATATAATAAATATGAGTATTACAATTATAACTAAAAATTTACTTTATATCCTAATAAATCTCCATTTTGTTGATTTTGTTGGAGATGTTCCCAAGTTAAACGAACTTCTGTTGATGATATGGCAAAAGCCGATACACTACGAGGTTCACCTGTAGGGACAGCTTCACCAACATAAACAGGAATAGGTGTGGAAGGTGGACCATTTCCTTGAGAATTGAAAGGCACTACAATAATATCATAATTTCTATCTCTAACTAAATCTCCAATAATAAGCGTATTTTCTTTTGTTCCCATAATTAATTGACTTGGTATTGTTTGCAATGCCATAGGTATGTCTGAAACGGGTTGGTACAATACTTTATAACCTCCAGTTTGAGTATCACCATTCCAATATTGTGATGGTATAGGTTCCCAGGTGACGCGCACACTTGTTGTTGTAATGGGTACTACTTGAACTTTACCAACTACACGGTTTGGTGCTAAAAAAAAAAAAAAGATATTAAAAGTTCTATATACATTTTATAAAATGTAGAGAAAACTTACAGGTAGGTAATGTCCTGACTTGAGGAGATTCATGACTGTAAGTACTAGGACCTATATCATTGGTTGCTTGAATACGAAACCGATATAAAGTAAAAGGCAACAGATCTTGGATTGTGTAAGATGTGATGGATGGATCTATACGCTCAGGAATGGTGGTCCATGGCCCAATTTCTTCAGACTTTTGTACAGTATAATATCTCAAAGGAGCATAACCATCTCGGCCTGGAGTCCAGCTAAAAGTGATCTGCGTAGCCTGAATTTGACTACGACTTATTTGAGGTGAAGAAGGAGCTTGAGGAATTTCTCGATTATTTGATGTAAAAACCAGAGCAGATTGACTTTTACCCCAACCTAAACGTGTTTGAGCAGTAACCCAAAACATATAGTACTGATCAGGAATAAGATCGATTGCTCTAAAAAATATTAATTATGAGTAATTGAACATTTTCAGATAGTTGATTTTATACTAATATTACCTAAATGTCCTGTCTGAAGCAGGAAATTCTTTTGAAAAGTTGTAGCCTTCAGCACTATGTAATTGATAATTTATTCGATAAGCAAGTATTTCTCCATTTGGATCAGCTGGGACATCCCAAATAACTCTTGCAGTAGTTGAAGTAACATCTGGGAATGATACATTTGATGGAGCACCGGGAACTGTAAATTATATTATAATATAATTTATTAATATATTTATATTAATTTTCTTTTTAATAAGTTATACATACCATCTTCATACGTCTGAACTCTGGTAATTGGAGTAGACAACACACCATCACCTAATCGACTATAGGCTAGTACTTGAATGCTATACTGTACAAATTTTTTTAACTCTGTCAATGTAGTTGTGAATGTTGAATTTTTAGGAATATCTTTAATTTGTACAGGATAAACTGTACGACCCCCTGGTTTATAGTAAACCTGAAAAATTTATGAATTTACAAAATGTTCCTGAAAATGTAAGAGTAAAAACTATATTTTAGTATACTTTAAATCCTTCAACAATTCCATTTCGATGATCAGAAGGCACATCACCCCAACTAACTACAATGGTAGTAGAAGATGTTGCATTTGCAATTACATTAATTGGTCCCATGGATGGTACTATAATAATAAATAAAAAATTTAAAAACATAAATTATACACAATTATAGTGAAGTTCTATAAAATTACCCGATTCTCTTGTGCGTTCAAAAGCTGAAGGACTAGGCCCAGAAGACCCTACATCATTAAACGCATTCATAGTTACATTATACTGAGTGAATTTTTTCAAAGAGTCCAAAACAAATGAATTAGAAGTAATATCTTCAATTGTTACTGTGTTCACAACAGTAGTATTAAATAATCTATAGGTAATATTGTAACCTTTCCCATTACCAAACCATTCACTTTGTTGCAAAGGCTACATTATAAAATTAAAAACGATTAATAATAACATTTAAATTGAAAGAATTCAAATGAAACTTACAATCCAACGAACACGAAGTTCAGTAGAAGACATTGCACGGACAGTAACATTGTAAGGAGGATGAGCTGGAGGTGCTTGAATTGTTTGAAAATCTTTAGTTGGGTCAGAAGGTTCTGATGCACCAACTACATTCCACGCAGTGATTCTTAAACGATATAAGGTATATGGAACCAACTGAAGAACTTTTAAAGTAGTTGCTTCTGGACTACTTTCTTCGTGAACTGTAAACCATGTTGTGTTTCTTGCAGTTTGTGCCTTAATAACCAATTATAAAATTATTACTAAATATAACAAAATAAAATGATTTCATTTTTTTTACTTTACTTACTTCAACAACCCATTTAGTAATAGAGGAATTTCCATCAAACCCAGGTGTAAATTGAAGTACAACTGAGAATGGTTCAATATTTGTAATAGCCAATTTGGTAGGCGGATTAGGTAAGACAGGTTCTATACCAGATTGTATTGTGGCTACTCTACTAGGACCTGAACCCACTTTTGTCCAAGCAAATACTTCAAATTTATAATGAGTGGTAGCTTGCAGTTGATCTATTATAATGCTGGTGATATCTGATGTTGTATTGACCAAGTGTGTTGTTTCTGGACGATCACGAATGGAATAAGAGACAGTGTAACCAATTAAATGACCATTTGTATGTTGTGGTACAGTCCAAACAACATTTACAGAACGGTCAGATATGTCTTCGAAATGAAGGCTACCAACTACATCAGGTACTAAAAGAAAAAAAGAAACATTTAATTTACTTTAATTTAATAAAAAAAAAAAAAGATTTAAATAAAGTGTAATTATGCATAAAAATATTGTTATTTTTATAAAACTTAAATAGAATAAAATTAAAATTATTATTAAAATAACAATTTTATATAATGTACTGTAGTTATGATATGAATTTATAATTATAAAATCAAATAATGCATTATTGGACAAACACATTATTATTAATTAGTAATAATTACCATCTTCATGAGTAACAACTAAAGAAGGATTACTGATTGGACCATCACCAGGATCCGTGAAACATAATACTGTTACATTATAGGCTGTAAATTTTTTTAGATTTACAAATGTAGTGGTCTGCTGAGCAAGTGGGTCGAAAAGACTAGGAGCTACAGTCATTTCATGTTCTACTCGTTCTCCTATAAGCATTTAAATTTGATATAATACAATTTTTTTCAATTATTATTAATTAATTTATTTAATATACATATGAAATAATATAAATCATAACCTACCAATCCATGCTTGAAGTTTATAACCTTGATTGATACCATTGATTTTTTGAGGATCTGGAGGTTTCCACCAAACTTGAACTGAAGTGCTATTTATTGGTCTAGCAACTACATCTATAGGAGCTGCTTCTGGAACTAAAATAAAAAAAATAATTATTAAGTACAGTTCATGTATAAATAAAAAAAATGTAATGCATCTTAATAAAAATTAATTATATTTTACTTAAAATCTTAATAGAAATAGAAATTTAATAAATAAATACAAAAAAATAAAAAAATCTAACCTCCTTCTTTAGTTTTTATTCTTATACTATCACTATAAACGCCAACTCCTTTGTTGTTATAGGACGCTACTTGAAGTACATAGTCTTTCCATGTAATTAAATCTTGGATTAAATAATAATGTTGAGCCTGTAAAATTATAAAGTCAATAAAAATTATGGAATTAAATTATTTGTCACTCATACATACAATTTTGAATTTACTAGTTTTATAATAGATAAATAAAATTAAAATTACTTACTCCGCTTGTAATATTATGAACAGTCCATGGACTATTAATGTAGCCATGTAACCTATATCTAATTATGTATCCCAGAATTTGTCCATTGTGATGTTCTTCTAAAGGTGGTTGCCACTGGGTAATAATTTCTGAATTTGACCTAGCCGATCCAACAAAACCTAAAGGTGGTCCAGATGGAGCTAAAAAAAAAAAAAAAAGAATACATTGAAATGTTTTATGATTTTATGTTTTACTGCTTTAATAATCAAACCTTGCTGTGGTAATGTTATGAAATTGCTTGGCTGAGATGGTGTTCCTTCGCCTATTGCATTCACAGCACTTATTCTGAACTGATATGTAAGAGCTGCCTTCAAATTTTCTAATATTACATATCGAGCATTGGCAGATATATTGGTGAGCTCAGTAACCCAATCAACAAGTGGATCTAGTACAGATTGAGTCTCTGCAAAAAACCCAATTCATCATTATAGATATAAATAAAAATATTATTATGTTAAAGGCACCTACCCGTGTATATTTTTTAAATTAAATAAAAAATATATACATTTAAATACAACCATTAAACAAGCAATCCTTACCAATTTGACGTTTTTGCACTATATACTTTAATATAGGGCTATTTCCATCAAAACCAACTGTCCAAGAAACATTAACAGCTCTAGGTCCAACACGTTCAGCTTGAGCAACATTGGGAGGATAAGGTAATTCAAGTATACTTAAATGTGCATGTCTTTTTTCATTGCCTCCAGGTGATGAAACTGAACAAGTGTAGATACCAGCATCACCTGCACGTACAACTCCTATTTCCAATGTTCCATCAGCAGAAACTCTTATTCTAGAATTACCTGCACCCAGACTCCTGAAAGTTGTGTTAAATGAGAAAAAAATCAATAAATTATTTACATTTATGAAATCTGGAACATACTTATTATTGTGAAACCAGTCAATTTGATATAGTACTGTAGGATCACTGGATACTTTACACTTCATAATAGAATTCTGCCCTAACAAAACTTTTGTATCTGTAGGTGGCTCAACAATTGTAGTTTTACCTTAAAAAAATATGTTTATGAATATATACACCTAATATATTAATTAAAAATTATTAAAAAAATAAATAAATAAAAGTGATTAAGTTTTAAATATTCTAATAAATAAATACCTAAAACTTTAATATAAGCATGCATTTCAACAGAACCCGCTTCATTCGATCGTATACAAGTATATTTGCCAGAGTCTTGAACTTTTGTGGATGAAATAAACAAGTCTCCAGTATCTAATATGTGAATTCTTTCGTTTAATGAGACAAATAAATCTAAAATAACAGAAAAAAAATGGTATCAAAAATATTTCAATAAAGATTCAAATGGCATTACTATAATTTACCTCCAAAAAGCCATGTTGTATTTGGTTTAGGTGCACCAATAACCCGACAAGACAATATCACTTCATTTCCTTCTAAAATGGTAGAATTTTGTGGTTCATTCTCAATGATTGGACCTGTAGCTGTAATACAAATCAAGTATAATATAAAGTAAAGAACAATATAAAACAAATTATAATAGTGTAATTAAATTATTCTTGTGTTTACTTATAAAAATATTTGTGTATATTTGTTTTGAGTATACTAATGTGATAACTACATTTTTGTTTACTTTAATATAAATATTGAAACAACTAACAATAGTGTAAGTAAAATTCTTCAAAAATTATTTAAGGAAGATAAAATGAATACAATTTAATGTGCAAACAAACTATAATATGTAGCTTCACTAAAACAAAAAAACAATGGCATTGGTATGGTTTGTATACACATAACCATTCCCTAAATTTACATTAAAACATACATTAATTTAACATAGTATCTATGTATGAATTACTATAGTGCAGAGTGCTGTGCTAAAATACAATTTCTATCATGGTCGAATAACCACTTTTTAAGAAAAACCTTACGAGGCATTTTTCGGGCACTCGGGTGTTGCCACGGCATCATTCTGTACACAGAAGGTCTCGTCCACCGTTTAGAACGTCCTACATTAACCATAAAAGTATTTACAATTCGTAAAATTTTAATATATTCTCAGAAAATATGCGTTAAATAAATACAGATTAATGATTTATCTAACTTCAAGCAACTGTATAAAACAGAAATCTAAAAATTGAAATATTCTCTTTCTAGATATAATAGGGTTAAAATGTAAATGTAACAATTTGTGCCGTTAAACAATGACTCGATACTTCGAATATAATTGAAATTTTTTTTATATTATTCGTTTCTGGATATATATTTACTTTTAATTGTATTAAACTAATCTAATCGTGGTTTCATGCTTCTTGACGACGATAATTTTTATCGGATTTATAAACTAGTTTTCAATGACTAGTATCTAATTTTATTTTTTATTTTTACAGTCTAAATACGTTGTTTACAAACCTACAATTTTCCCATTATAAAATCACAAAAACCAACCAAAACGAAATGTAACTATTTAAGAATAATTATTTAATGAAATATAAAAATTAAATAATTAAATAATTATAATAGATTATTTAGTAATATGGCATAGTCAGTAGATCAATGGCTCCAAATACCATTTCTGATATTGTTCAAACAATAGTTTAACAAGGGTGAGTGGTCTAAACATAAGTATATTTTACTTTTTTCGTTTGATATTTAAGTACATAATTTTTATAATTCTTATATGGGTAAGTATAAAATGCACTTTAATACCACCACTAGTAAAACAGATTACTTTATTACAATTTAGTAAAATCAAATATTATAAAGAAATCTGATATTTTTTATCATAGGCGAATCTATAGGGTGTGCCGGATGTGCCATGGCACATCCTGCGACTCGTGCAAACCTATGTAGGGCCCATAATACTCTTTTCAGTAACAATGGTATTAAGTCTAAACATTAAACAATTTATAAACCAACCAGAGCATGTTTACGTACTGTCTATAAAGTGTTAGATTGGTTGACCGTTTCAAACCGACAAAATATATTTAATAGTTTCAATCAAGTATTATCAACTACAATGTTTGTAGTGATACTCGTAATTAGTTGTGAATGTGAACGTGTTTTTTTTAATAATGACTATTTTTAAGTCTAAGTTAAGGTCCACTATGTCTCAAGATCGCTTAGAATCTCTCCTTATTTTTATTTGTGAAGCAGGAATTAATTAATTCCGTGGACATAAATAATGTAATTAAAGAGTTCAAAGTTATGACTCCTAACCAAAGAAGATTAATTTTATAAAATGTATGAAAAACAGTTGTTGATTACTACCAGTTATAATATATATTTAATACAATTGTTTGCTATAAAAGACAATAAAATTAAGTTGTTATAATAAACTTCCAAGAATTTTAAACATAATTGATTAACAATTTAATTTTTGGTTATAAGTGTGTCCAAAAATAATAGAGTAACATATATTGAACTTTACAATAGTTGTAGTTTATAAAAATGAATAATTTTTAAACATTACATGTGTATTTTGCAGCATCTAAATTAATAAAAATTAATCTTAATATTGTTATTTCAAATAGGAAGCATCTCTTAAACTTAAGATAACTGAGAGGTATTTTGAACTACAAAGGGCCTCTTCGAGGTAAAGGCACACCCTGCGATGAATTCCTAGATTCACCTATGTTTTTGACAATATTAAACCTCATTAGTTTAATAGTAATATAAATATATCATGATGATACTGCAGTTACTTATATAGTACATATACTATACTTTACGCACGTCATATTGTTGCGATTGGATATTTGATTCGTAAACAATTTTCAAATCAATTTTAATGTATAGGAGTACTTACTTTTAACTTTCAACCACGTACTAATAGAATCTGATCCGGCTTCGTTTTCTGCTTCACATTGAAACATACCGGAATCTTCTATGTTAAGTTTCTTAATTACTAGAGTACCGTCTTCTTCAACAGTATACCTGTGTAAATATTAATATTTTTACATCTTCGCTCATACAAGTCAAGTGCAATAAGGTTTAATTCACCCGGCTATTACCTATTATTTTGACCTATTGTTTCTGCATTCCGGTACCACGTTATTTTGGGTTGTGGTACACCAATAGTATCACAACTTATTCTAACAGTAGACCCATACTCACCAAGAGTTTCCATTCTTAAATTACCAACAAATGTTGGAGGTTCTAAAAAAAAATATGATTAGACATCTATATAAAACATTTAGCAAGTTAACAACAAACCCAAAACAAAAATATCAGCATCTGCAGAAATAGGTGAATAACCTCCAGATAAAAATCGTACTTGACAAGTATATCGACCTGTATAGGTTAGTTTGGCATTTATAAGGGATAAAGTTCTGTTCCATGGGTCGTTGTAAATATAGTCAATGCCATTTGTATTTTCTATAGGTATGTCGTCTTTGAACCACAAGGTTTCCAATTCGTGCAAAGGCCTTGCATTAGCAATACACTGAAGTTCAGTAGTTTTATGGCCTTTAATCACATGTCTTCCTTTAGGCTTAACTACAAAATAAGGAGCGATTTCTCCCGTTTGAGAGCCTCCAACTATATTTATTCTTAAATATTGACTAAACTCATCTTTTCCTAATAATGGATTCGTAGCTCTCACCCTACAGACAAATTAATAAAATATTTTTAAATATTCACGTGTATAATTATAAAATATATACGATTATATATATATTCTCGTATTAAGCCCATTAAAAATAATTAGATCGTCGTAACAAAACTTAAAACAATAATTAAAGAATAACATTAAACCCATTTGTAATTTCTCTTAATATAAATTTAAAAAAAATTAAATTTTCTTTTTCAATTGACCTGTAGGCTTTTTGATCACTTTCGGAGACTGATAAGACAACTAATTGATGCGTCTCTGCAACTGAGGCATATTTGATGTCGTACAACTGAGTACCGTCATCAGTTAACCACTGTACCATGGGTGGTGGGTAGCTTTTAATTGGCGGACATTCCAAAATTGCCGCTTGACCTCTATCAACTCTGACTATAGGGTCAGTAACTTCCATAAAGTTGTCCATATCTAAAATTCAAAGAACAATTCAATAGTTTAGATCCTAATTAAGTAAATAATTGGAATTATATGAAATTTAGAATTTATTTATAGAACTACTACATTTCAATGTAAACAAATTATAATAGGTATAAAAAAAAATGTATTTGGTTTTTATTTACAATAAATCAATACAGCTTTTACAATCGTGTAGAACTATTTTTTTGTACGTCACACAAAATAACAATGAAAATTGAAAAAACAAAATGTAGGAGTTTAAAGAAATAAAAATATATATGTTTTTACTTCTTTTTCTCAGAATTGTTTTTTTTTTTCGACAGCAGTGGTAACAATTAAATAAAAACAAGCTAGAAATTATTGCTTTCAATTATCTATCATAGTATAGCATTATACAATTTATTGATAACCACGCATAAATAATTTAATAAATATAAAATAGTTAAAAATTGCACTCATATAATAACTCAGGTAATAGTTTAAATATTTACATATAAATTAAATATTTATTTATGTAGAGTTCTATTTTTATAAATATAATTAAAGATAAAATAAAATAATTTATCATAGATTTTTAATGTCTAGCATAACTTGGATGGTTCAAAATAATATGTTTATATATTTTAAATAAATAAATAATTTTCTACGTTTCCATTAAATAACAACAACACTGGAAACGGAATTATTTTTACATTTAACTTGTATACATTGCGTACAACACACCTCTAATATTCTCTAAAGTGACTCACCCAAAATTATTTTTGACATTAATTCTACCCAACAACCGTGTCTATTATATATATAATCTATTAAATATCTATTATTATAATATTATAAATGTTGTTGAAAATTATTAGATCACTAAATGTTATCAATAAAAGTGTACTGTCTATTGGTGTTTAATGTTCAAATACTTTTATTTGTAGACACAAATGTTACCTATTGTAATTTTAATTCAATAATATTCATTAATACAATGTGACTAGCATATATTATAAAATACAATTCGCATAGATACCATATAATCATAAATAAGTCATGAACTCTTTGATGTTTTCTCCTTTACGTTTTTGACATAAAAACTATTGATTATTATTTAACATTTCTATTAAATCAATAAAAACTTGTAAATACGTTATGTTTGTTTTGCGATGATAAAAATAAAATGACTAAAGGACTTATATAAAACAAATAACTTAAAAAGAATTAGAAATATTCTCATATAACCAGTAATTTTTTATTTTTATATAGGTATTTAACGTGTGAATAAAAAAAAAAAATTCTTTATAATTAATTTGAAAATTTAGAAAAGAGAAGTGCCTAATTAAAATTAAAAAATATACGTACACGATTAAAAATAAAGTTAGAAATAGTTTGTTGCAAACAAAAAGATAAAACTTTCTCTAGAGGTCTTAAATGCACTTAAAACACTTTCTATCTTCCACACATACTTGTTTATTTATAATAAAAGTACTTCTATATAAAAAGAGCATTATAATGTTTATAACTAAATATATCAACTTACAAGCTATATTGATTTCAATTTTTTGTGATACAATTGATCCAACATCATTTTTTGCTATACACTGGTATGTTCCTCCATCATCGTGTTTAAGATTTAAGAGACGAAATGATTGATATTCGGATGAAAAATCTCCTACTTCTTTGCCATCTTTGTACCATTTGTAAACCGGAGCAGGAAAACCTGAAAATGTATAATATAGAGTTTAGTTACGCAAATAAATGTACGTAAATAATGTATTTATTTATGGTCTATTTCAACACAGACTTAAAGTCTAACTACACAATATTATTAAATATATGTGTTATTCAATGTTTATAATAAAAACAATTTAATATTATATAAAAAATTATTTATGATCAGTTATATCCATTGTTAAAAATATAAGTTAGATATTCCGGTAAACTGAATTCAAATACCATAAACACGAATTGAAAGAATGACACAAAAATATCTATATTATGTTATTTAGACACGGTATTTATGTTTTTCATTTTATTTGATACCTTCTACCTTAAATTTTAGAATATTACGTTTCAAAAAAGTAACCACATAAAGTAATAAATAATCCTAAAAATCCTAAATATAATGAGATATAGTTCTAAACAACTAAACTAAAAAAAGAGCTTTTGATTAATTATTTTAGCGGCTCACCCTTAACATTTATTTTCGCAATTATTTTTTATTAATTATACCAAAAAAATACTAAAAATTAAACAAAAATTGTTATTCAAGTTTCTTTGAACAAGAGTAAACAATTATTCATTCATATTTAGCAATTATCATAATTAATAAATATTGTATTTTACGTCGAAACATTTTACAAAAATGTAATTTTTTTAATTCGCGAAATAAGATAAAATATTCAATATTTATACAATGCTAATATTGACAAAATATTGTTTTTTTAATTTATTCACGTAAGACAAAAATTAATAATGTACACTATAAAATATATAGTTGATGTAAAATAAATTATAACATTAATAATTTGAAAATATAACATAATAAAGATAACTTACGAAAAACATAGTAAACTGTAAACATAGTCTCATCAATATGAAAAATATTAACTATTTCAGTCAATATTTGAAAAAGTATATGAACAAGATATAATTATATAAAATTCTCACGTCTTATTGTATATTATATTATTTAAATTACTAGTAGTAATAGGAATATATATATAATAATATAAATATCAAGTTAACAAAATTCTAAGCGAAGTTCGATTTCAACCCAAGTCTTTCAAAATTATTTGTAAAGTAATTATAAATATACATATACGAGTATAAGTAAATTATGTAACTGCTAAGATTTCTAATACAATTTTTAAAAGCTTTTCAATTAAATTTTTTTAAATCAACAGTCAAATTAAAAAATTATATCAGTAAAGTACTTAAATACCACTTACGTTTAATCATTCATTAAATTGCCAGCAGTCCTGACTCAGGACTACACGGCGAAGTATTAATTTTAAAATTAAGTTTCGATAACATTTTTTTAATAATTACCTTATTGTCTTATTAAATATAAGAGTTTGGTTTTTCATAAAGCATAAGATAATTATTTTTATGACGAAATTGATTTGAATATTCAATTTTAATTTAGTAAACAAGCAAGAAAATAAAGATAGCAAACAATATTTTTTTTAAATATACTTGATGAGATACATAAGATCAATCGATACTAAGATGTAATAAGTGGAATTAAAAATGCTAGTTTTCAAGAGTAATAACCTGAAGTGAGACTAATATTGTTCAAGGTTATGATGTTCATCTGTATTAAACTGGGTTGTTGTAGACAGGCACACAGAAAAACGAGATACATAAAGTGGGCATCCTTTTCTTTCATAGAATGTAACAAGACGAGTTCCATTACAATCGATGCCACTTCTTTTTATATAGTATTCGTCATCGATGTTACGTAAATGTATACAAATACACACTACCCATACGGTTCACCAAAGAAAAACTATTTTTTGAAATTTGAAATAATTTTGAAATAATAATTTGATTCTTGAAGAAAATAAATAATAAATTAAAAACTTCTTCTTATATAGTATATATATAAGAATAATAATCATACATATAGGATATCGGGCATTTGTCTAGGCATTGCCACCAAAAGCTATTTCATTTAATTATAAAACGGAAAAAACAACCATTTTACAAAATATTAAGATCACCATTCTAATTATATGTTATAATGCTAAATAATAAATATTTTTAAAAACTGTCATCTTACCCATTAATATTTTAAGGAAATGTTGAAAGGGAATTCATTAATTTACTATAAAAATGTAAAATTAAAAAAATCTAAGACTATTCTAAAAAATCAAGCTCGTAAGTTAAATAATTTCTTATACATTTTAATAAACGACTTGCTAGGAAAACTTTTAAGTAAATCTCTATTTTATTGAAATAATAATTCGATTAAAAAAATTATCTTTGATTTTTAACAATACTTTATAATAATGATATATATATATATATGATTTATAAAGTGTATATAAAAAGTTAGACTAATGATTTTTAAATACTTAATAGCGTTCTATAAGAGTATTAATATCTTGATTTAATGTGAGTACTTAAAAGATTTTTTTTTCAAATAATACCAACCCCACAATTATAAAAATTAAATATTCTATTTATACACAAATGTCCATAAAATTGTTTTTATGTACACATAATATATATAAATATATATTTTTTTAAGGTCATTGTTTGCGCCATCCGATGTTTTGTACAACATGTTGGGCTTGAACAGCAAAACTTCCCATGCAATGAGTTCAATTTAATTGTCAAAATATATCCCACGCCAAGAATGAAAACCTCGCAATTAACTTGCTCGGTAATCATATATAATAGTGTATAAAAACCATTGAATAGTAAGTAAAATTGTTCAGTAAAAAACTGTTTCTAACACTTACTGAACATACGAATGATCAACGTTACACGGTACATACACATATTAAATACCAATATAAGTATATACCATATAAGTATAAATATGAGAAATATTTTTTGAAAATGTATGAGATTGTGTGCATGATTTATTGTTTAAGAGCCTATAAAGTTTAACTAAAAGAGTACTTATCTTTTAAAAAATGTTCGAATATTTTATAAACCCAAAAAGTTAAAACTTAATAGGTAATCAATGAATAATAATGACATTCATTAATATTTATTTAGTAATAAACTAAGTAAAAATATTAATAGTGTGTATTCAATATAGTTAAGATATATATATATATATATATATAATGTAGGTAAAATTATAAATATTATACAATATTACCACAGAATAGATAAAATCTATTCTGCAATATTACGTACAGCATTATATATTTATTTTATATCATTGCATTGTTTTATAAATATTTTAGCAACATATAGTTAAAATTTAACATTATACACCTTAACATTATACACTTATATCGTAATCAGCATCTATCATGTGTAATTTAATGTTTACTTATGTAAGTAAATAATTTAAATTAATTCCACAAGATTTATGGATTAATATTTTTTTTTGACTTTGCAACAATAATTATATCCATAACAATATGATAAATTAAATAATAATAAAATAATAAATTTAAATTAATGAGAAAGTATAGTTTGAGTATAACGTGTAATGCGATCATTGTAATAGCCGATACGTAAGTAAAAAATACCTTGATGAAGCAGACTACGGTCGTCTACGTGAGCAACATAATAATTATCAGAAGAAAAATACTACAACATATACCCGAGAACCCGATTGACGGTGGCAATGTGTTTTTATAAGTAATACGAGAGATAAACTGTACGTATAAACTGAACTATAACGTCTATAACAGGCATGACGGCAGGGCAGGAAATACCACTGGAGCGGGTGTTGGGTGGGAAAGAAAAAGACATGCTGACAATTTTTGAAGAGGGGCTTTGGCTCTTCCTGTTAAGTAAATAACTGGAGTGGTCTGTGGGTATTAAGTTACAATGTAACGCTATTGTTTTAAGCAAAATCCTTTTCTCGGTTTGCACCACCTACGATCGTGATCAAGAACCCAATTTTAAGTCAGACAACTATATATGAGTTGCTTTTTGTTAAACCTCAAACAACACAAGCGTAAATTAACGAAGACTTAAAAAAAAATCACTAAAATGTTGTTTTATAACTGTTAGTTTCTAGAAAATTAAAAAATAAGAACTCACTTGTATATTTCTAAATTGGTTTACATTATTTCAATACATTAACAAATATAAATGAAAATACCTTTTATAGTAAAATTCGTAGAGGTAAATAAGTGACTCAATCGAATAATAGGCCTATAATTTAATAATTTGAAGTTATAAAAAAAATATTATCGTTTTTACCATTATCTTACTGATAAAATGTTATGAGCTGAAAAAGTATTTCAGGCAGTATTAAAAATATTTTTTTGGAAGTTTTAAGATTTTTTGTAATTTTTGTCTTTTAGAGCAAATTGCATTAGCAAGAATAAAGTTAAACTGTAAAGTAATGAATAGCAGTTTCATTAATTAGTTTTAATTTGATAATTTAATTTAGCTATAATATAGTAATATTATAATTTGATAAACGTAGAGAGCAATAATTATCCTATGTAAAACAAAATCAATACGTTTTCTAAAAAATTATAATACATAAAATGGCAAATTTTTCGAATATAATTTGCAATTCTGATATAATCAGTTAATGTATTGATTTTAGTGATTTTAGGAATATTTTTTTAGTCAACACTTTTAATAAAAACATAATAAATCGGCATTGATACTTTCACGCAACTACATTATTCAAACGCAATATTAGTTCTCATAAGCATAAAAAAAACAGAGGAAAAAAATCTTAGAAATAAAGTTAAATTGGCATCGATATTTTTATGCATCAAACTTCATTCAAACGCAGTTTTAGTTCTCACAAACGTAAAAAAAAACCAAGAGAAAAAATAAAAACATCTTGGAAATAATGTTAAATTGTCATCTCGCAACCATTTATATTTCTTTCAATAAAATGTGTATGAATATTGAAAATATTATGCAAAACTTACCATATACAATTTTATCAGAAGAATTTGCCTACTTAGTAAATTTATTATAATAAAATTTTTAATGTTTAAAATACAACCAGTTCGATTGATGTTTATCGAATATTTATATTTATTATCAGTTTACCAATTATCGGTCAGAGGAATTACACTTAGAATTATTAAAATTATATTTCTTTGTTCATTTTTTATAACGGCGGAACCCAAACTTTTACGATCACTGAACCTTTAATAACAACTAGTTAAACTAAGAACAATTAATTTGTAAAAATGTATACTAACATAACATTAACATATTATTAAAATAAAAAGTAATTATTTTTATTGTATGTTATTTACTTATTTTGTTGGTATCCCAATTATATTTCAAATGCATCGCAGAATGTATTTTTTGACTATTGTTAAAATTGCTTTGTTTTTAAAATACAACAAAATGACAGTTAAAAATAGTTTATACCGAGGTTCAAAAATTGGGTTGGACATTACTTTGAATTAATATATTTTTATTTGTATTGTGAAGTATGAAATAATTAAAGATGGGCATTAATTAGTTAAAAAGTTAATTTTTTTAACTTTTTATCTTAACTAGTTAGTTTATTTTCTAATAAACTTTTTAACTTAACTAATTTAATTGACAGTTGAAATAACTTAGCTTTTCACAGTTGATTAAAAATGATCTATCAATTTAAACAATTTTGAAATGTTTCATTAATACGTAAATATTATTATAAAAATTAAATTATATTAATATACATTAGATATCATTTTAGATTTTGTAGGTTGAGGACCCCCCTTTGGGTATTGAGTTCTGGCCGTGGATACAGAATGTTATGTATAAACAATTTTAACTATAACGATAAATAAATACGGTAGTAAGTGCCCCCTTGATATACAATGGCATAGTATTTTTCAAACACTTCGACGCCACTGCTGTATATTATGATAAAAAAATTTAATAAAATAGTTTATTTTAATTCAGGAAATTACATCTTTCTAAAGAAGGCAGTCACTTTTTATGTGATCTATATACTAATTAAAAAAAGGAGATTAACTTTTTTTGAACTGAGTTAAGTTGATTTTTTTTCCTTATTAACTTTTAACTTATCGATCTTGTGTTCTCTTAATTTAACCTAACTCGAGTTAATTATTTTCATTAACTTGTCCACCTTTGGAAATAATGTAATTAAATCGTTTAATTTGAACAACAATTTTTTGTTTTACATTGTATTTACAGTTTTTTAATTTAAACTAATTTTTATTTAAGCTAATATAGTATTGAGTACCTAAAGGTCAACTCTTCCCTAGTCTCTGTCTCTAAACTTTACATGTATGCTATTATGTTATGTAACTACTATATAGAAATAAATTATAATAAAGTAATAGATATATTTTGTAAGACAAGTCAACAAATATTCAATGCCTTAAATTAAATCACTGATCATATATGATTATATATGTTGTAGTATTATCTTTGAAATCTTTAATAATTAGGTAATAAGTTATTGTATTTAAGAAATTGCGCTGAGCAATACTGACCGGTTAAGATTTTTTTTGTAAAATTTTAAATTCAAACCTCTATTAAAAAAATGTTGTACAGAAGTTTGCAATATTTTTAAATTTATTCAAGGTTTTATTTGAACCTTTAATTCGGTTTGTTTGAAAATGCATTTGGAATAAAATTATTTCAATCAAATAAATATGATCATATGAATGTAGACCATAATAAATTTGGGGCTCTATAATTATAACCGCACTGGTTCATGGAAAATCTGTGGGTGCCACTGACACCAAACATTTAGAAAATATTAAATATAGATATGCAAGGTATACCTAAATAATACAATAGTGTACTTAAATATACATTAAATTAAGCACCTGTGATTTACGAAGTATTTTTTCCCCAAAAATGGTAGTCATAAAATAGATTGCAACAATTATTAACTTTAATAAGTTTTAAATTAATAAATTGGCTAATTGGCTAAGGTATTTAAAAAAAGTTCTATTTCATATAATTTCTTGAATAAAAATTGTTATTCAAATATTGGAATGTAAAAGAGAAGTTTAAAACTTAATTTTTTTTTTCCAACACTTATATCCTAGTGTAATTGTTACTCTATAAATTGGTCTTTATTATTAGACACCAGCGTATGTACTCATAACAACTATTACTACTATAAAAACCCTAATAACCAATTCAACAAATGAGTAATAAATCAATGATAACCTATTTTTACATAAATATTAACTTTATAATAAGCATAGCGAATATAAATAGGACAATATAATGATTTATTATTTGTCCTGTTATTTAATTGAATTATATTTTTAAGTTGAAATACTTAACGATTGTACATCAACAAACGCTTAAAGAATTATTTTAAAAATACATAATATTATATTGATCTAACATATTATGTACCTAGCATGTTTGTTTTCAAACCATTCAAGTGATATAAAATATTGATCTGCGAAATTCTCCCCTAGTATATGAATGAAGACTTTCTCCAGAAGCCTTATTAATTATTATTAAATAATCATATAATGCGGATTGCATTACATATAATTTGAATTTTTTATTTGTAGTACCATATAATTATAATTTTTTAGTTAAAATGATTTTAAATTTAAACCATTAAGTAGCACTAAAATAAAAATAATAAGTATTTTATACTTGTTTAAACTAAGATATATTTACTAACATATTACTAACTACAATAATATAATCGTATATAAAATATAAAATTAAAATATACCATATACCCAATAAAAGTAAAAACAATTTTAATTTTAGCTTTTTGTTAAAAATGTATTGCTTTGTGAGAATTTTTTATCCGCGGATTACGATAAATTTACATAAATTACTACTTATTTTTATACTGAAAAATTTTTATTCAAATTTTAAATAAAACTACTCAATAATCGTAGTTTTAAAAACGATTTACAAAATAAAACTTTACTACCTAATTGTGAAATTGCAATACCTTTACCTAAATTTAAAAGAATTATAGCATAGCAATAAATTGCAACAAATTTAATACCTAATTTAATTGTACGATCAAATCTAAAAGCTAAATAGTATTAATTATCTCTTATATATTTTTCAATATTATAATAATAAAAAACAAGTATTTTTAATTGTTTATTTTAACACATGTTTATAAAGTTTAGTTTATAATTAAAATATGAAAAACGGACAAGATATTTCAATATACATTTGTTATACTACGTCAGTTTATACGCGTGAGTAACATAATTATAAAATATGCACTACAGCGTATGTTGTATAATTTTAAGAGAACACCAAACACTGATTTACATTTTTTTCAGACGCACATTAACAAAACATATAATTAACGTTCTGTAAGGGTCCATCCAATAATTCGGTGTAATAACATTCAGTATAAAAATGAATTTATCCATCATTAAATGTATGTATGATAATTTTAACTGATATAATTTTATGTTATTAAATCAATACTTATTAAATTTTAAGAATAAGTAAATAAGTTCGTGATTCATTTTGATATTTTATACTTCACAAGTTGACTCATTGTATAAAACATTTACAATTGTTAGTCAGTCACATTTATTCGGAGAATCGTCATAAATATAACCTATTAAAATACAATATTGATATTATACTTAAAAATACGAAAGTAGATAATCGATATTAAAGATTATGATTCACGAATTTTATAAAACATCTCATTATTTTACTTAAGAATTACAATTAGTATGATTATTATGTATTTAGACATAAAATATTAAAAATATTTTAATAAAAATAACTTTTGAAAAATATATTATTCCATTAAAAGATAAAAATAAATACACGGAAATATCATAAAAATAGTTTGTTGAATTCTTATCAAATTGTTTATCACTAGAAGTAATAATATATTTGGCACAACTATAAATTAAATCCAAAATTTTAGTTATTTTATAATTTATTTGATAAATCAAAATTTGGTAATAATTGGTTAGTAGGTACTAATCAATTAAAAAATGTAATTGAGTTCTATGGTTAGTTGTAAAAAATATAGGTAGTTATATAAATTACATTTGCCCAGCCTAAACAATTATGCAATTATGATTTATTATATAGTTATTGTATCGGTCATTGTAAACATTATAAATTATTACCTATAAGAACATTAAAAGATTACTAAACGTACAGCCACTATAAAGTAAACTGCTTTAAACTTTACATAATGAAGGAAGGAATTATTAATGAAACCTTTTAACTGGCATGATTTTCAAAATAGTTGAAATGTTGAACAAATATTAATATTATTTATATTCTTTAATTTGTATACCAATATTATGGAAAAATGAGTATGATGAATAATTTTTAGATAAACAGTACTATACAATATAATGTACAAACAAATAATGAATAGCAAAATAGACAAAAGTTCCAGGCATACAAATATAAGGAAGTAAATTAGTTACAACTTTAATTACACTTTAATACTATACAGCCCCTTATTCTTAAAGTTCATACAACACATAGCATAAATTACAAAAAAAAGTAAGATGGAATTATTGCTAAGATTTTTTTCAACAAAAAAGAATATTTTCAAATTTAATTAGAATTTAATCAAATAGTTAAAAATGTTTTAAAATTACGAAGTAGTCAATAACTTAATTTTAATTTAGATAAGAGGTATCTAAACTAAATTGATTAAAAAATTATAAATTATAAATTGTATTGAAATAAATGGGAAACATCTACTCCTGAACCTCAACTAAAATTAATGAGAGTAGCAAATTAGTAAATAACCACCTAATTCTTTTAAACCCAAGAGAAATATAAAACTAAATTGTATAAACTTACCAAGAGCTTGGCACTGAATAATTTTTGTTTGTCCTTCACCTATGACATTTTTAGTTGATGTTGGCTGTGTGATGAACCGAGGAGCCTGGTAGGATTCTGAAAACATAATTTAATTGTAACAACACACGCACTATAATATTAGTGCAGTGCAAAGGACAAATATATATGAAAGACTTACGACATTCAGAACGAGCGGCAAGTGTAAGGACGAGCAATAAAACAGCCACGATGGCGGTGAGCAAAGTATTATCCTGGCAAAGTAGTCGTTGCCTTCGCCATCTACCGTCGTCCCTTTCTTCTTCTTCCATTGTACGATAGATATTCACAGGTATCACCGTATATCACGTACGCACGAATATATGTATTGTAGATTAAAATAATTTACGACTAAATACCGAAAAAAATTCAGAACCGTAACTGTCGGGCACACGATGCTCGATACAACGATCCGTGAACCGCACAAAGGCCACCGGCGGACGGCACCTGTTGCTGTTTTTCAAAAGCCATAGCACGCGCGTAACGGCCGTTTTCAACGGTCTAACGGTTTTCGCGACGTAATCGGTTTCGGGTTTATCAACGGCCCAGAATGAAAACAATAATAATAACAACAACACGATAATGATAAACGGTAAACAAAAATATAGCATGAAAATGAGCCGATAAAATACGACAACAATAACAGTCGGCGGTGGTCGTCGTGACGGGTCGTACGCGTTCTTGCGGTCGCCCAAAGAATGCAGTCCTCCAGCACGCACGCACTGGCGACGGCCACTGTCGGTGAGTGCGCGCGCACGCACGCACGAGAACGCGACGGAACAACTCTCAAACAACGGCGACGGCACGCACCGACCGGTGACGACGGCGGGCGATCGGTACGCCGCCGTTCAATGGACTCGACGGTACACGGGAGGCGAGGGGAGTGACGAGCGCTGTCACAGGGTTCGCACGGAGATATACGGTTGCCGTGTAGTTGTATTGGTCTTGTACTGCGTGATGGGAAAAAGCATAGAAAAAAATCCTCTTCCCAACGGACAATGGCGCAGTGTCGACAATGCGACCGCAAAAGTTTACCCGGCCCGCGGCCGCTTAACCACCAACGGTTGGCAGCCCGGCAGTAGATAACAGCGAATAGATTAAAATCCTGTATATTTTTTGGAAGTTATCTCCTGAATGTTATTACCATTTTGAATATTTATGGTGTCTATTCGGTGGTCGTATCGGAGCGGCACCTTTTCGGTGGCAATGACCTCGACCGATGAACGAGATAACGAACATTACAGGACTCGTTTACGATAACGATGTTTTCTGCTTGTTTTCTGGTCTTATCACGTCGTCCGCTCTTATCCAATACAAGTGTTTCCAAACATTATTATCATTATTATTTTTGTTATTATTATTATTATTATTATTGTTTTTGTTCTTGTTGACTGTGGCCCTTTAGTTGCTCGTCTTTGTAGTTTCGGCGCTGCGTTATCGCTTTCCGATGGATTTCCGTCGGTTACATAACGCCGATACACGTGTAACGATGTACCCATGAAATATCATTCGGCGTGATTATGACGACCGGGAATAGAATAGTCTCGATGACCGATGAAGTTAATGGTCGCTGTAGATGTAAATAATATTTTTGCTGCAAATTGTCCACTGTTATCGGACGTCAAACTTAGCTAACAATATGTCGAGGTAAGCTTGAAATAAGACTTCATAACTTCGTCTACAGGGCCAGAGTTGGATTTTAAGCAAAGTTTTCAACAGTCTTTATCATAGGACATATTTGCCAATCAAAAACAATCACCTTTTTTTCTTCCCTAGTATTATTTTATAAATTTTTTTCGTGGAATATACAATGGATTTTTTAAGAATACAATTTTTACCATTTAAATAACAGTCAAATTTTAACATTTTCAACTTAAACTTCTTTTAACAAAACCATACAAAATACAAGGTCCAACAATGTACAAGCTTTTGGCATGAGTCTGATTTGTTATACCCTTGTCACTGGTCCTGCTTATTCACAACCTATTCAAGAGGTTTGACACTCCAGATAACATAAAATATATGAAATTCATATTATTTTTCAACTTTTCTGCATTATTTTCCTAAAGATTATCAGACTATTAGGACTGATTATTTTAGACTTTAAAAACATACATATAGTTTTATTATATATAATAAACAACTTAAAATATAAAAATTATAAAATAAGAGAAAAAGTTTAAAATCATGAATAGTTTTTTACTCAACTAGCTGCACTAGTTAACCTTCTAACATTCAACAAATGAATATAAAATGTGATTTTTGTAGAGGAATTCAATTATTATATTAATTTTACTCGAGTTACTATTAAAGTTAACCAGATTGCTGATAGCTAATTAGGAATGATATTTATGAATATTCTATCCTAAGTTCCTTTTTTTTTTTGTTTTCTAAGAAAATAATTAAACCTATTTTTTTTTTAATAAAAAATCACATTTATTTACTCTAAATATTAATTATTTGTTATGTTTTAGAGAACTTTTGATTGTATTTATTTATGACCCTCGATTCTGTACTACTGAATCTGATGATCCACAAAATTCTATATTGTACTTTCATCCACCATGGGTAAGCTCATCACAGAAGCTTGCTTTGAGCGGCCAACTCATGGGAATAGTCAAGTTTTCTTCTTCAGCTTTCACAGCACCAACAGTTTTAGCTTTAAAATCTGGAAAATTTGCTTTTCGACAATTTGGTTCTTCAACATTGGTAATAAGATTAAAATTTGTTTTTATTATTTTTTTTATTAATCATTGAATATTACTTATTATATCATAAAATAAAGTTATCTATAATTATTTATTAAAATTAATATTTATTATTACATAATTATTATTGAGGTTTTTACACAATGATTTATTACAGTGTGTTGGAACAGATCGAAATATTCCTGATAGTATTCTTCAACATCGCGCCAATACTTTGCACAATATTTTAGTTACATTTCATTATAATATAACTGAAATCTCAGATCAAAAAATCCTGACTGAAAAGTTAAACATCACTATTTCATCATACCTTTCACTTCTACAAGTTTCTTCAAATATTTTTGGTACAACTACAGTACTTAAATTTCCTAAGGTTAGATCTTGTTTGTTATTATTTTCTCACTTAGATTAATTTTCAATAAAAAGTTTCTAATTGGTTAACCTTTAGAGTGGAGGAAGTATTCTTTTAGAATCAATGCAAATACTGGAAAGCATGCAAGAAAAAAACAAGGTCTTAGGAGGAATGCTACTTCATAAAAATAAGTATGTTATTTGATAATTCTCATATAATAGTTGTTTATTGGATAAATTACTTTTAAAAAAATTATTATTTTATAAAATATATTTATTAATTATTTTGTTCTAGAATTGTTGTGACTCAATTTGGATTTGAATTAACTAAATTAATACAACTGACTAATCCTTTTTGTAACAAGGTACTTAAAAAAAATTATTTTGAACTCAATGTTTTTATTATAATTAAAAATTTGTCATAGAATTATTTATTTTAATTATAAATTGTTTAACACAATTTTGAAAAATGTTTTCTTATTATATAGATACCTGCTGAAAGTGTAAAAGGAAACTTTCATTTACCATTAGGTACTCAACTTTTGTATATTTTTGTGGATAGAGAACAAGTATTACAGATAAGAAAAACAGCCTCTTCATTGAAGCAATCTGTGAAAAAAGCGTCCAGATTTCGACAAAAAAATAAGGTTTTTTTTTTTTGTTACACTTGTAAATATGATAATACTTTATTTTTAAAAACAACATTTTATTGATTCAGATGTCTGATAAGTTAGTGTGTTGCACAAAAAATGATAAAAATTCAGATACCAAGAATATATTCACAGTTGAGGAAGAAGATACTCCTGATAGTAATAGTGAATCAATATGTAGTATGCCAGATATTGTAAAGGAATTTATTATTAAAACGGAAAAAAAATCAGATAAATTGAATGCTGGAAATTGTTCTTCTTTAAAAACATCTCTTAATGAAATGCCAAATTTTACTAAACTTGTTACTTTAAGGTAGACTTATTTTTTTATTTATTATTATATGCTACAAATGAAATACAATAATTTATTTTATTTTAGAAAAGATATTACCCGGTATCAAAGTTTGAGATCATTACCCAAAACAAATGAAGAAGAAATCAAAAAAAAAGAAAAATATAGAACGTTATGTGACCCATCTTTTCCATTATTGCGTGACGACGATTATGCAGTTTCCAAAGCACTGTATGATAAACAGCTATCTCAACATTATACTGAACTTGATCTCAAAGTACAAATGGAAAAAGGTTTGTATTATTTTAATTATTTTTTTTTTTTTTATTTATTTAATCATTAAATTAAGTTATTCAATATTTATTATTTCAGAAAAATTAGTGAAATCAAAAAAACCAGTTCGACCTACTTCTATACCTCTAAATTTACAAACACTTGGTAAGTTTTGAATTTTATTATTTTCAATCAAATTTGAATTTATTCTTATTTAATAATTATTTATATTATTCAGATAGGAAACCTGTGCTCAAAGAAGACATAATGACACCATTGATGGCTAAACTTAGCATGACTGAACCCTATCCTTTTGCCACATCGACTGAGAATATGTGTAGAACTCCTTCCACAAACTTCCAACCCCAAACCAATGCTGCTAGTCATCAAAAGTTGCTGTTATTTGTTGCTGGGTTTCAAAATACATCATTAATGGTATTATTAGAAAAAGAAGCAGAAAATGATGCTGATCTTATTCATCTATTAGTAAGTAGGGTATTTAGTAATAATTGTAAAATGGGGTTAAACAAAAATTTATCTTTTGGGTTTCTAGTGGAATTTATGTATAAACAATCTTGGAGATTTGGAACATTCAATAAACAATACAATCACTAATGTCCCAGACACATACAGTTTGCAAGGTGCTGATGAAACCTATGGTTACATGGTAATGGACACAGCTGATGCTGGTATGATTGACAAACATGGGAATTGGTTGGGTTCACAAACAATCTTAGCTACATCTATACATGATACGTTTCAAAAAAATCCTTCAATTCTTGATATAATTGTCAGGTAATCAGAGCTCAGTTTTACTGCAATTTTTTTTGTCACTAAAAAAATATTAATTGATATCAGGAACGATGACAATATTGTATATGGAAATAAATGTGGAAGCCGAGAATTGTTTTATGAACAAAGTGGTAATATTGTAAGTGGCCTACCTACACCATCAGATATTATGGGTGTCGTTTCTACCACTGCAAAAAGAAGACTTCAAAGAGATCATGGTATTATTATTCTTTAAAATGTAACCATTATATTAGTTGTAGATTTTTTTTATATGAATGTAATTAGAACTCATTATTAATAGAACTATTAATACAGTATTATGGTAAAAATTTAATGTAATCGAAGTGTTTCTTATCTATGTTTATTTATTAGATTAACACTTGAATTTTCTTAAAAACTGTTTTTTTAATGTTTTTTTAATAAAAAAAAAAAATTATAATTATTTATAATACATGCGCACATACATTATGACGTTAACATGTCATGAATGTAATCAGAAAGGATTATATTTTGAATAATAATAAACTGGCTGTCACTGTCATTACTTATTACTTTATTTTTTCTCATTTAATCATACTATTTACTTATTATTGTGATAAAGTAATTTATATAAACTGAATAGACCTGTGAAAACTTTTTAACATTGAGAAAAATTCTTTAGAAAAATGTTCAATGTAATATTTAATTGCAACACTATTTCTTTACACAAGTTCACTTATAATAATATAAATATACAATAGTTGAACGAGAAGTAAAAATAAGATATTAAGTTAAATAGTAAGTAATATCTTTTTGGTATACAACTGAAGTTCAAGTTTCATATAAATTGTGGTAAACGTATTTTTTTTAAAAAAATAATACTTGAATTTATGAAGAAATAATTGTATTTTCATGAAATACATTTAAATAAAATGTAAATGTAATTCTGTTTTTTTGAAACTGCCTTTCTATTTGTTTTATAAAATAGTTATTTTAAAGCTTATGATTAAATTTTGTATTATTATATATAATAGTATTATTAATTACTATGTTTATATGTTCAATATCAATTTTTATTATTATTGTATTACTTTATACTAGTATTTATAATTAATGATACAACTTATTGGCTTGAAATACTTGTTATTCTGCCGTTTTTTCTTCCATTTTTAAAATCCATAATGAGTACAATATTTCTTTGTTGAACAATAAATTTGCCAAAACTGTTACACTGCTGTCTGTTGTGAATAATCGAAAGGATTTGTAAAAGAAATCCGAATGAAATTGAATTGAATAATTTGCCTATTTACTCGTGTCAGTAAAATACTTTCACGTCACCCAATACTTAATATGTATATATTGTTATAATATACAATATATATTTATTTTATCATATAAATGTCGGCGTATGACGCTGCAAATCATACAGTATTTTATAAACGTAAAATTATTTATTTCCATTATAGGCATGTAAAACTGTTATGTAACAAGTACTTACGTGGTTGTTTCAATAGAATTGTGTAAATGTCAAATACCGGTAGAAATATCGTAAGCCTTTATTATTATTATTTTTTAGTGGAAACTGTACCATATAACTATAATAAAGTTATTTTTAAACACAACATTTATAGCGTATGACATATACCTAATATTTTTCACATTGCATGTGATACGAGTATCTACGAATATAAGCTATATATATATATTCTGTACGTGATTTTACGCAGTGCAATTATTATTTATACATACCTACTTGTGTAAAGTAATCGGTTAAAGAATATCGATGTATTTATTTTTTTTTTTTTAATTAGATGACTAGACTTTAATAGATTTAATTTACTAAACATTTTCTAGGGTTATTTTGAAAAGTAATCCGTGTTAAATTATAAGCAAAAAAATGTTTTCTGCTTTATATTTAGTAGCAACAGAAATATTTATGGATACCATAAGTTACTCGTACAGCCACTGCAGGTTTTATTGTTGTTGAACAAAAATAGTCAATAACTAGACAAATTAACAATTATACTTCACTCTATCTAGGAGTTCGTCAAACTTAATAAAGGTAATGTTATAGAAAAGTTATTTTTTGTTTTTTAATGTTTAATATTTATTTTTTAATTAATTCATTTTTTTGAATTGCCTACTTTAAATTAAAATGGTCAAATTTTTTACTTACTTATTAATTTATAAAATTGTTATATAGTTTAACCAACTCAAGAAAATGGTTTTCGTTAACTATTTTCCATCTCCATATGTACACGTAAAACACTTATGAACAGGGCTTATAACTTCTAGCATTTGCATATTTATTTGAGAGGTCCTAGAGGTTAGTGTAAGTTATATAACCTATATGAGTTATAAATTTGTTTCAGATAACCAAGAAGCTACTTACAAAATTTTATGTTGCATATTTTTGCATATTTCGGAGTACAAGTGCTATTTTGCTTTTCTTCGCTTTTTTTTGCTTATTTTTGGATTTTTGCATGGTTTTTATTATTGATTTTTTTAAAAAAAAATTTAGTAGCCTAAAACATTTTTTCTTAATAATAACTAGTAATTATAGTCATAATAACTAGTAATTATAGTCATATTAATTATTCATATTAGTAATTAATTCGTGTTAATTAATTTTTCTTCTTATATAACTTATATAATGATATCAGAAGAAACTATATACGCAAAATATTATTATATTTATTAGCTTATTTTTCACATATTTTCTTTTTATTATTATTATTTTAACCAAAACAATAGCTAAAAAATGAAATTACTATACGGTATTATAAATTTACGAATATTTTTTTTTATTTATATTCTTAAAATCCTCTCACAAACCCGAGTCGCAACTCGTACGTACCTCTTATAAACCCAGGCCGCAACTCGTACGTTATTTAGGGTTTGGGCCGCAACTCACCAACATCGATTATAATTGTATATAATTGTAGCTTCTACTGTAGTTTTTTATTATAGTTTCTAGGTATTCCGGGTATTCCGATATCATCATTCTCAGATTATTTACAGATTATTTTTCATTAACATTTTGCGGTTGTTTCCGATTTTTCATACTGGTATGCATGCTAGTTCGTTTCGTGAATTCAGTATTTAATTTTTTTTCTTTTTTTAATAATAGAAGCTAAAATAATAAAATAATACAATAAATAATAATAATAATAAAAAAATCATTTTTGTATACAAACCTTTTTTTTGCATATTTTAGTATTTTTAGTACATATTTAAGCGCTTATATGAATACTTTTTAGAGAATATTTAAGCGCTTATAACAACCTCTTTTAGAGCTATAAGTTATGAGCCCTGCTTATGAGTATTATTTTTCTCGGAGTTTATACATTTCATTACCAATCCAAAATGTTAAGTCCTGAGTAAAATTAAAAACCTTAAATAACCACCACCTGAAATGATAATGACATAACACTATTCAAATATTAATCTTTAACTACACAAAGTATGCTAGATGTTAGCAAACAGGCGGCAAAAGATCTTACGATAAATAAATATTGCATAAATGTGAAAATGGATAATAATTATAATAATATCGTGTGAATTTTTTTTTTTTCGTCGCCTATCGAATGAACTATACAATAACGCAGTGTTTCCCAACTTCTTTTACCCGCGGAATCTTAGCAGAAGATTGAACGTTACGTGGAACCTCAATATTTTTTCTATAATATTAATACAGGCATATGTTTTGTATACTTAAATGAGTAGATTATCGGACACTTCCGGCACAAAAGTGTCATTAATATAAAAAAAACAAGACGGATTTAACATTTTATTTTGTTTATTACTATAACAATATTATAAATGTATATATCAAATTTAATACTTGTCTCTCATTACCTCTAAGATAGATTCAATGAGAAGATTGGAATCTTTCTATAGTTTTTTTCATAACTGTTTTTAAATTTGAAATTATTCCTGAAAAATGGATTCGTAAGTCCGAAGCCGCGTTCAGTTGATTTCGAAACTTATTCTTAGTCTTTGTATATGCCGAAAAGCTACAAACTACGTACCTCACATCGGGAAATGTGTCAATTCCAGTTCTATATTGAGTTCTATGTTCAAATCAAAATATTGCCAGTTAATTTATATTTTCCCAAAATTCTCACGGAACCCTTAGGTTCCGCGGAACACCAGTTGGAGAACACTGCAATAATGTATTGTTGTAGTTAATCCGTTTATCAATATTTTTCAACTATTTTGTTTCTTTGAATTAACTTCTTGACGGATAGAATAAGAAAAATAATTTACTTAAAATAAGCTAATTATACTAACAATTATGTACATAATACATTTGTTGTTTTAGACATTTCGTTGGGCCCCTCCCGAAGAAAATTTCTAGATACGGTCTATAAATGGTGTACAAATGAGGTAGGGATTCGGGATAATCCCCCCTCCCCCAGGATAAAAAAAAGATATTGTCCAGTTTTGAAATTATTAAAACAATAGAATGAAAAATATACACGTCACGAAAATAAAACATAATGTGTATATAAAATCTAGTTGTCATCAATTCATGGCCGTATTTTACGGGGGCGAAGGGGCGATCACCCTATTTGAATCTGTATTTAAGGAATTGATTATATGTAAGATACTCATTTCAAATTTTTTAATGTGGATCATTTTATTACGAAATCAAATTACGCGTGGCTATGAATACTGAATTGGGCTTTTTGTCGGGTCCATACTTAGTGAAAAATCAAATAAAACACAAGCATAACTTTGTAAATACTAGTGTTAAAAAATAGCTACACAAAAGTCGATTCTAAGTGGATCCGGCATTAGATTAAAAAAAAAAAGTCACAAATATTAAGGATATACCTGATTTAAATATTACCAAACATTTTACTAGTAAATTTTGAGCCTGAATTAAAGAAAAAATTTGATAGGTATATAAATGTACCTACTTCCCTTCTTCATTTCATATTAAAATTAACTGTTTACGTATATTATTTTTATTTACTGGTTACACATGAAGTGACATAAAAACGTTGGTTTATTAGAACCATCTAAGTACCTACTCGGCGCCATTTACCACCATAACCAGCATCTTGTTCAAAGAAAGTAGATATTTAATGTCATGTAGAGTTATTTTATACTTTATGTTAGTTACAATAAAATAATTTAGAAAAAATCTAATAGCCTATAACGTCTGTTTTAAACAGCTCAAAGATCACATTTTATAGGCAGTGACTATAATTACCATTTATATACTGTACGACTTATTATTTGTGACCGATACACGTAAGCGTTAACTACCATGTACATAATATTAGTTACAGCTACATATATGTTATACATACTTGTTTTTTTTATAAGACAATGTTATGAAAAATCGACGCGATATTATTGTTGTTGAAAGACACATATAAATTCTGATTTAACGGTATCGTGTTAAAAGGGTATAGTTTTTTTTTTACGGATGGAAGCTAAATATTTTTATAGATTTTATTTTATTTTCAGACAATTAAGGAGAGTCAAAACTCAATAAATGAAATACATGATTGTACGAGGACCTACGCAACTAAAATAATTATTCGAGACAAATTATCTAATTGGATATTGTTTGAGGCGAGCCGTTTTATAGTTAAAATTTATATGTTCATAAAAAAAAAAAAAAAAAAAATATGAAAAAACTTAATAACCAGATTAATAAATAGGTAGGTGTTTAGCATAGACATAATATATATTATGTCTATGGTGTTTAGTGTTAAAACAAATTGGTCTAATTTACCTTGTTTATTTCTATAGTATTTAAGTGATAAAGTCTATTCATCTTAATATTCTTAATATTAAATATTATGTGTTCATATGTATTTTGTTCTACGATTTATGTTACACATTTAAACACAAGTACGTAGGCGGCATTTTACTGTAAAGGATAAATGTCATTCTCTTCATTCAAAATAAGAAAACCTGAAATAATAATTAACGATGATAAATTATTTTTAATACAACTTTTGTTGAGTTAAGATAAAAAACCTTTTATTTTTAATTTAAGAAAATTGAGCTTAGGTAATTATCGCATTTATAAAGCAAGTATAATCCAGAATGCCAATATCATTGTATCAATGTATATAGGTTAATTAATAATATTATTATGGTTATTAATATATATGTTTATGTATAATATATAATCAGGCATGTATCCAAGAAGTGCCCATGGAGTTTAGACCACTCATAATTGTTCCGTACTTGCTGGAAATAATGGCCATAAATCGTAATCCTTAATAATTTAAATTTAAATAAAAGCCTTTAAAAGTACTTTATTTACATTTAAATTATTATTTGCTTTTTGTGTGCAATAATTACGTACGCCCAGTATTCTTAAATATACTATCAATAATTTTTTTGTACATTGGGTTTTTCACAATAGATATAAGCTAAAAAAGGTAAACTTTCATTAAGAGCTTCTATTTTATCTAAAAGCATTTTCCCGTTATTCCTTAGGCTACTTTTTATTATAAATTAACACTTAAAAAAAAAATCCAGAGCCACGTTTTACAAAATATTTTACTGGTTCTCAGTGAAAAAAAACTTTACTACGTATTATGTTTGTAATAATGCTGTTTCTATACTGAGAAAATCGGACTCTCCGGTTTTTATGATTACAAAGAAAATCATTTGAAAAAATCATGTATCTAAGTTTCAATCTTTAAGTAAATTAATTTAAAAATTTTATGAATATTTTACTATCAAAAATGGAGTGGGTTTTCATGATTTTTCTAGTTTTGTTAAAATAAAAACGCTCAAAAGATTTGTTTTTTTTTTTTTTTTTAAAGACAATGTAATAGATATGTATGAATAATGACAGCGGAAGATTTTATAGGGCACGAGGTAAGTTTTGTTTATGGGGTCTAAGAATTTTATTTCGTGAATCCAAAAAAAATTTTCATTAACGCCCCAGTACTTGTACGACATAATTTATGTAAAAACATTTTTCCTCAACATAAATATTATATTTTATTGTCAAATTGTCAACAATATATTATTGTTTATTAATTTATTATTGTACTTTTTATATTACAATATAGATACATATTAAATATAATGTTGAAGTTGAAAATTAAAATACCGCATACATCTTTAAATGATAGGGGGCACTTGTTATTTAATTTTAAAAATAAAATTATACGTTTACAAATTATTAAATTCACGATAGTTAAAACATAAATTTTTTTCTTTTATCATTAATCAATGTTTTTAAAAGTGAAAATATTATCTTATATTTTACAAAACAACAATACTCCATTGAAATTTTCCTGTTTTCCTAGTTTATAGAAACAACATTCTTTAAAAAAATATTACATTTAAAGAAATTAAACTAATGTAATATATGACTACAAATATTTATAATTTATTTTATAATATAAGATTTTAGTAAACAATGTAAAATATATATATATTATATATATATTTAATAATAATATATTTTTATTCATTATTTATCCATATAATTAAAATTAATTATACTTCAACAAAACAATTCTATGCATTTTTATTATATTAATATTATGAAACTTAAATATAAAAATTTAAACGTTTAAGTTATTTTTAGTTCAATGTAATCATTACAAAAGAGTAGAGAATAATGTAGAAATAATAAATATATAAAATGATTTTAAAAATGATTGAATAATAATAACTACATAATAAATTTATACATCAAAATAATCAACTCTTCCACCACTTTTATAATTTCTCATCGCTAATGTGTTCACAAGTTTTCGACAAGTATCTTCAACTTTCACTAGATTTTTTTGTTGCTTTCCACTTGAAAACTGTTCGCGCACTATATCATCTTTTGAGTTGGAACTAATATTTATATACATATCTGTTAATACTGGCCCTAAAATCAATAAAAAAAGTTCTAATTTCATTGTTACATAAACTCTCTGGATAATTCTTTACCTGGTGAATAGCTAAGAATATTTAACGAAGGATTTTCTAAAGCTAGAACACGAAAGTACATTTCTCGACTTGCTTTTCCAACACAATAGTATCCAACTGATTTAAATGGTTCAATTGCCATTAATGAAGTAATATTGACAATACATCTTTCTGTTTTATCACAATCGAATTTTGATAAAAAGACACTTGTTAAACAGGTAACAGAGTATAAATTCAAAAACATATACCTAGAAAAATATAACTTGATAATTACATTTTACAATCGATACCATCAGTAACAAATCAATGAATATAATAAATTAAACATTTCATAATTTTCAAATTATAGAAAATTAATTGCTTATAAAAACTGTAGAATATAATCAATTAATTTAATATTTTTATTTTAATCAATAAACAATATTTTGACAAAAAAAAAATAAATAAATAAATAAAACTTAGTTGTTTTAATGTTATTGAAGAACATATTTAAAAATTTAAAAACTACTTAGTAAATAAGAAATGCTTAGAAGCATTGTGTTGCTTGCTTAATGTTAATGACAGATATTTTTGGAATAACAAACTTAATTTAACCATTAATTTATAACTAAACATTAATACAACATGAACTATGAACTAAACATATGTTTATATTTAACACACTTTGAAAACATTAGAAATTGCATAATATTTCATCCACTACTTCATTGACATAATATGATAGAGTGCGATTTAGAGAAAATAGGTTTAAAACCAATGATAATACAAATAGTAATAATTGCATATATATTTACTTATTCCATTCATCAGGATCATTCATATCAGCTGTAAGATGATCCAAATTACCAACTGATCCTGCATTATGTATTAACACAAATAATTCATATTTAGTAGAATCAATAGGTTCCAACATTTTTTCAAACATAGTTGCATTAGAATTGTACAAATCAACACTATAATACTAAAATCATAAATCATAAATTTTAATGGACTAGAAACAGCATTTATTATTTTTGTTATACATACTTCTATTAAAATGTCCTTGTTTTCTTTATTCACCATTTCTTTAGTTTTTTCAAGACCATTTGTATCTCTGGCCAACAGGACAATAGTTGATTCTGGTATCAAAAGTTTGCTGATTTCTACAGCTAAACTCTGCCCTATTCCTTTGCTTGCTCCTGTCAAAATGACACAAGTACGGCGGCTCCAAAATTCATTCATCTTGTGTTTCGGGTTTAATTAATCTTTCAGTTTCGGTTGCAGATATTGGTTGTTCTGGATTAATCCACGAAGAAAGTCCCAAAGGTTGATTAACTGGTTCCTCGTTTTCAAATACTATGTTGTCTGAATTGACTAAATGTTCTAGACACTCTTTTCGAGCTTCACACAGTTGGTCTATGATCTGACGTCGTTTAGTATTGTCTGACTGTGAACCGTTCTTCAGTCTGTCCAGTTTTTGCTCTGTTGAATATTGATGGTATCATAATGGTATCAAATAACAAGGTTTATAAGAAGATAATAGAACACTTTACGTATTTTATAACTAGACATGTAACACCATTTGATGATTATATAATACTTGTATTATGTAATAACTAATAACAGGTGTGTACTCACCCAGACGCTGTAAGTATTCTTCTTTATCAGGCAACGGTTGAAAGGTTGGCTGGCTAGGGGTAAAATTATTTTCAAAGCAGTAATCAATTGACTCGGTCGTGGACTGTGGCCAGGGGTCTATTGTTTCCGAACCGTTAGCCAAGCAAAATGAGTTCACCATCATGATATTGCATAATATTAAAAATTTATAATATCGGTAAACTGACAGTATGCACACAGATAAACAATATGACGTTGGTTTGGCTGATGGTTATAGAAATATTGATTGAATTACTGAATTAATTCTGTCCAGCTGACTTTATCTCGTTGATTTTTCGCATTACAATCGACGTCCGAAAAAACATAAAGCATATTAATATTACGAAAATATTTTTTGTTGTGATAAACAAAATCAACTGATAAGAAGAATTTAGTCACACAAGGTTTTAAAATATAGTCTATATATAATTATTATGGACAAATTAATACATTAATATGACTATGATAATAATTGATAGCATGATGAAATATAATACGACTATAAGACTACCTATATTATATATTATAATCTTATAATCACATTATATTTTTATACTTTTACCCTATTGTCTCGAAACATTTTCAACAGTCTAATAATAGTGTAGTAAATATATTTAAAGCATACAACCAGAGCCGGCGAGAACTTTTGAGGGCCTCGGGGCTGATCGATTCCAGACCCTCTTTACATACTCTTTTTTGGCTAAGATATACATATTACTTTTGCATACTACAGTTACTAAAAACGCTCCAAACTCAGGCCCGCGGACAGGGCTGTGTCTAGAGAGGTGCGAGAGGTGCGTGTGCAACGGGCGCCATTAACACTGGGGCGCCAAAAGATTTTTCATAATCTAAGTAAAATTATTGAAAGTTAACCATATTATTTAATTCAAAATATTTAACATTGTCTTGATCGGTGGTGTTGCTAATTTATTTTAAGTATTGGTATTTATTTTTTCCCCGAAATCGACGGGATGACAAATTAACAATAATATATCATTTATAAAATTATTAAAATAATAAAAGATTGTATATAAAAATCAGCCTCGTGAACAGAGCCGTGTCAAACATTTCAGCGCCTCGGGGCAAAATGTTTTCTACTGGGCCACTAGACACAGGTAGCATATTAAGTGCAGATAAGGGCACCCCCTTACTTTTAAAAAACTATGGCGCCCGGGGCAATTTCCCCCTTTGACCTCCCCTTAACACGGTCCTGCTCAAGAATGAAAGAAATAATTAGAATGAGAGTAGATTTTGAAATTTAAAATGTTGAAAGTATTGAATGGGGTTATTGAGAGAATAATTAGGATATTGCGTTTGGTAGATAAGTGTAGTAATACAAAAAAAGGGTTAAATATGGGATGAACTTTGAGAGTTCTAAAAGTGAATTTCTTTAATTCTTACCTTTATTTTACTTCTCGTACAACATATAGATTTTGAGTTGACAAATATTTTAAAATAATTAAACGCACTTAAAAATATTTAAAATTCAGATACGATTGACAAATCTCGTCAATACTCCGCAGGCGTACAATGAAAACTTGTCGATCTTCTTCGTATGGTGACCAGTAACCGAACGACATTCTTGCTGGCGAGACAGGCCTATTTATGCCCTTTGGAGTATTGACAAGATTGTTGGGTAACTTGTTCAAGTAGGTAGACTAGAATGAGAAAACATGGCGTCGAAGAATCAGTTTGAGTTATATTACTTATATTGTTCTTTAGTCGTTGATTATTTCTTTTATTAATTTAATAAATACAAAATAAGAAGTTACATAAAATCCCATATTCTTAATTAGTCTCCTTATAATTTAAGTTTAGCTATAAATATAGGTTCAAAAATATTTTGTAGAGGGATGAGGGCGCTAAAAATGATTTTTGGCACCAGGTGCTAATTGAACCACCTATTTGAGAAACGACGTAAGTCACAAAGTATCACAAATCGAGATAAATTTAATTTAATTTTAAGAGTGTGACATGGCTGTAAATAATCAGTATGGAAGTGAAATAACGTGAGTCCTGGACTTACGCTTTTTCTCCTCTACATCACGTGTATAACTGATAATACTATTTTGACTGATAACGCTTATTTAACAAGTTGACTACTATGAGTATTATATTTGGTACTCACATGATTTGTCTCCTCCGCCACACATTTTAAACACGTTTTGTTCTACAGGCTTTGAGTACCAATTCTGGTACTCAATATTTTTCATGATTACGTCACTGAGAATCATTTTTGATGTTCATTTCGTTTAATGGAATAGAAAGAGGAGAACATTTCAAACTGAATCGTGCAAACAGCGCTCAAATTTAATGTTTTTTAAAATAAAAATGAAATTATAAAAAAAAAAATATAAATACAACTCATATTAATGTTATGCTCTTTAAACATTTTTATTTTAAATATATATAAATCTAATAATAAATATTAATTATTGCTTTTATCCTGTTTTTTTATTTGTATATACGAATATAAGCCAGTTAATAACAATACAATTTTAGAAAATACCACAGATTATATGAATATATTATATTTATTCATATAATCTGTGTTAGTACCAAAGGAAGACTTCCCTTTTGTTACGACCGTATTAACGCGTAATAAATATTAATTATTGCTTTCGTCCTGTTTTTTTATTTGTATATACGAATATAAGCCAGTTAATAATAACACAATTTTAGAAGTACCACAGATTATATGAATATGTTATATTTATTCATATAATCTGTGTTAGTACTAAAGGAAGACTTCTCTGTAATGTGTAACCTTGTCTTGCGGAATTCAAGCAGATTTGGATTAACATTTATTTGCGAAAATGCTTTTTTTACTCTAATCTATGTAAAAAATAAGTTTCGCAGTTCATCAAATGCGCCTCATATTTGAGATTTGATGTTATTATCAACATCAGATTTATCATCAAATAGGTACTAAAAATTATTATTATTAACTAATAAGTAATAAGTACCTTTATTGGTCTCACTAATGTTTTTTTTTTTTAATATTATTAAAATATGTGCACTTTGAAATGTTTTATTTAAATACTTAAATTTATATATAATATAGATGAATCATAAGTGTAAGCAAGTTTTGTTCGTAATATGGCCCGCCAGCTAATTCTAATTGAAATTTTAGTCCGCTTCTCATCTTTTTTTAATCTGATCATCATGATAAGTATTTAATTAATCAATATCTTGTCTTAACATTTAAATGACTGGACAGTTTTCCGACTGTTTTCCAATAAACGATGTGACAATGTATGTGAATCGATAATTGCAGAAACGTCACGAGTCACATATTTTATCAGTATCTCAATTTCATAAAATATGCGACTCGTGACATTTCTGCAATCATCGATTTATGTATATTGGTACATCGTTCATCGGAAGTAGGAAAACTGTCCAGCGATTCCGATGTACAATCCTTCAACCCTGAAGCATTGCTGCAGTGGTGAACCTCAGCTCCGTCCGTCACTTTTTGATTATCGTCCACTATTTGGCACTGATAGCCGGAGACATTACGAGTTTGTGCAGCCGATTTTTTTGTAGATCGTCTGATCACGTTTTTTTTGAGTTCCTCAATACGACGATATGTACAGCGACCCGCAATCGATTGTCCATCTTAACGTCACATCGTCTCCTTTTGCCATAATGTAAGCAATGTTAACAATTATGTGAAGTATCTTATGGTTTTCAAACAATATAATACTACCTATATAATACGATATAACACGGTAAATTACAACTTGGATTTTGTGCAAGACTGTTCGGACTGTCCAACCGGTTTAAATGAATTTGGCAACTGATAGTGTGTATGCTTCGCTTTAAAAGCTGAAATATCCGCAATTAAAACGGTATTTCTGGTTACTAACGATGAGCTATCCATTGGTGTACAATTGCTGTCTTCGGCAACATAAGTTTTCTTTAACGAAGATTTGACGTGTACAGCTAACTTACGTCTTTTCGAACCGGCCTGACTGATTCGGGTTTGATAAAATCGAATAATATCATTTTTTTTGATACATTTTAAAGCTTCTGCATCAATCCGTGCTCGATCAAAATTGTAATCTTGTGTAATTATCTCCGTTTGATAGACGGCCGCTTGCTTAAATAAGCCTCTAGGCTTCTTCAACAGTTTAACAGTTAAAGCGTTTTTATACATATTAAACACTTCATCGGACATGTTTATCAATAATTCTCGGATGGTGTTTATGTAATTTTCTATTCTTGATTCAACGTACGTCGGATCACGGAGAGACTGCACGATAATATGAAAATACAGAACTCCATGTCTTCTGATTGACGAACTGAATACAATGTATCCGAGTTGTTCCTGTGTTCGTAATGTATTAAAACAAGATTCTTTAACGATTTCATTAAAAAGTTCGACAATCAAATTGTTCAGTGTAGACTGAACACCGCATTGAAAATTAACATTAACGCTTGAGCTGCTGTGATGGTTGCTAGTCGTCTTAAACAATGTGTCTTCCCTATCCTCAAGTTGTACTTCTCTTGACCTAACCATTAAACGTGGCAATAGTTCGCGAAATCCATTACGTACTAGGAATGGTTTTTCCAAAATATTTATTAATTCTATGGCTTTATTTCTGTCAACGTTACCATAAATCAACGATTCCATAAACATATGTGACAGGAATTTTTCCATAAATTTTTTGA